ATAGCCCATTTTCTACCATAGGCTGCAGAGGTTCTTGCCAAGAAATGTGCTGCTTTAACATTTTGGATCGAAATTTATTGATGCAGCAGGTGACAAGATCAGTAATTCAATGCTCAGAAAAGACTGGATAGATGGGAGTTGGGGCACAGAAGGAAAGATCTAAGCAGGCACTTATTTTTGGTATAGATATTCGTTAAGTTGTTGATCAATGACTTGCAGGTGTGACAGAATGCTGGAAAATCTGAGGTGACTAGTGACAGATCTTCTAGGTGATAAAAATACTGAGGTAAGATTTACACAGGCAGCCTGATGTGGATCCAAAAACGCGAGCAGAAACCACAACTGTCACTGACCCTTATCTTCTTTAGGCAGGAGAGTCACAGTGACATCTGTCTGGCAAGGACTCTAAACAAGCATGTTAACTGCAGAAGTTGTTTCTGGATGCAAAACAGGCAATCTGAGCTTAAGTATCATAGTTCTGTTTTCAAAAAAGCATCTGCTTTTCAACAGCTCCCGGGAAGTCTAAGTATCAGTCATTTGCTGTTTAAAAGTATAAATACAGATATTTTCTTCAAAAAATAAACAACAGATAATTATCAAATAATGAATAATTCGAAAGCCACACAAGTTTTTTCAAGCTTTATTAACATGTTTCCCAGTTGCTGGGATTATCAATACCCCAGCACCACTGCTGTTGAACATGAAGCTCAGTTTAACTGTGAAGAAAATTCAGTTGATCGGGCAGGAAAGTACTTACTGCAAATTTTACTTGGTATCATTACTAGTTCAAAGCATTGCCTGCATAAATGCTACTGACAGCTGCACTCATTGCACCACACCCAGTTTCTATTCTTTTTGTTTTCTACATGTGTTGAGTCCTTACATCTCCTTGCTCTTGCAGGTTTAAGTCTACAACTCTTTCCTTTTAGTATTACTTTGTGCTAAAGAAAGTATTATAGTAGCTGTTTTTTGACAAATGAAGTAGATCACAGTGTGGTAAACAATCTAGCCTCTGTTCCTCTCCTCCTCCTATTCCCAGCATGAAAATAGCTAGGGCTAAAGCAACAGCTGGGGATCATTACACTGACAGGAATAGTTCAGCAAACTCCAAGAGGGGAAAACATGTCATATCCAAAAAAACCAAAAACACATTAGGGCAGCAGGACTGAAAAAATACATGAATTCAACTCCAGGGATAATGCTAGGACTCTCCATCCACTGACTTACAAAAACCCTGGTCATTCAGTGTTAATCCTTTCCCTAAGCTTCCCACTAGTGTTATAAAGTTAACAAATACTCTGAAACACCTCTAAGTCTTCACAGTCAAATGGAGGCACACTGGGAATTAAGCAAAAATAAATTTAAATTGCCATCTTACTGCCAACTTTGAGCCACCTCACATTAATATATCATTATCTTACCTTCACTGCATCTCTAACCTTTTAAGCATAATCACAGTCACCGTGCTACACATTTGCAAAGAGTGGTTGCAGCACGAGGCTACAAGGAGTCTAACTACATAGGTTTGGTGTGCCTCTGGATTTGCCGTAAGAAATGACAGCAGGTTAGCTCCCCATAGGTTCAACACATTTTCTATGTTCTTCTGTGTCAGAGCACTATTTGCATAAACAACTTTGAATTGTGGGACATATCTGGCCATAATTCAGAGATGCGCCTGTTGCATTTTGTGACTGGTTTCTGATGTTCCTTACCCATGCATTTGCATGAGGCATCACTTTGACATCTCCCACAGCATCTTCAGGTCCACTCTGAACTAGGAAGACGCAGATCAACCTTTACAGAAAAAGGTCACCCTGCATTCCTGTGAGATGCCTCAGACGCAGGGGCTTCCCTCTTGCTGGGGATCTCCTTGGTGTCAGAGCTTCCAAGTCTACACGTGCAGGTTCTTCTGCCCTCTACTGGATGAGGTATGGCCACCGACCAGCTTTACCTTCAGGTGCCTGGGAGGCGTTACAACAATAAGGTCTAGATCACTCGTGAAGAAAGCCATATGTTAACAAGCACTTGCATGACTCCTGATCTCTTCAAAGTACTGAACAGATATTAATAGTTTAATCAAAGGCTAAGCTAACTCAAATTACCTCACATTTGCTGTGGACCAAGAATGTGCACACAGTTACCGCAGATCAGATGGCATGCAGGAACTTGTTCATGTGTCTGGGCCCTGAGACACAAATCTTGGAAAAAGACAGGTGAGTTTCACTGTCAGCCCCCAAGTCACATTGAACATTTTTGAAGGGAAGACTCGCCAAAAAAAGTACTTCGTTTAAGAACAACGAATGAAAGACGTCATACAGAGGTGGAAAAGTTGGAATTTACTTTTGGAAGTACTTAATTCTAAGCTAGACTCACATGAATGCTAATCGTTTTTTGAGTAGCTTTCTGAAATTTTCTAAAGCTTGCAATTCCCTCTTCATCTCTTTCATGAGGGACTACCATACTGTTGTGTTAACTGGTCTAGGAACAGCAAACTGGGCTCTGGTATTTGAAAACTAAATCATTCCAAGGCATTCTTGAATAGAAAACATGTTTATGGATTCCTCAATTCTAGGAATTTTACAAATAACTGCCCCAACACATACTTTGAAAAATATAAGCATATGTTCTTTGACTTCCCCATGTCAAATCCATTTCTGTGTGGAAAGGATCAGCAGTTCCCAATCTTCAATGTCAAGTCCCAATTCAAAAAAATAAATAAATTAGATTTAGGAGACCATCTGTTTTCCAGAGGCAAGGAAACAAGATGAAGTCTATTCCAGATAGCCACTTCTTAGGACATTCATTAAGAGAATAGGTATGAGCATTGTCAGCATAACAGACACCCCTTATTTGCCTGTCTTTATAAAGACGAGAAAGCAGACTGGCACCCATTCACCCGTGTGTGGTAAAGAGTGAGGAAGAGAAGTGCGTGAATTATCTGTCCTGGGCAATAACAGAACTAAGCTGTCCCATCTTTAGGGGGATGAAAACTACAGTGCAACAGTCGTTATACTTTCAGCTCAATGCTAATTCTGGACTTCCAGAGCTTCCATAAGGGTTTACACGTGAGTGCATCTGCTTCTCCACTGCCTGTAAGATTTGGCTCTGCAAAATACAGTGCATGCTACAGCATAAATACAACAGGCATCCCGAGACTGCAGGAGACTTGAATGGAGCAGCAGCAAAGCTAAAGGGTTATTCTTTTCTCTTCTGACATCAAAGAAGCTGGCAGCATCTATTTCTCTTCCCTACCCTTCCTGTTTGGTAGCTGGTAGAAAGTAGCTTTCCTCATCACATACGATATTAGAGCATCATGAATTAGACATGGGTAGGCTGATGATATTGCTAGACTTTGCAGAGTCAACACAGCTTTTTCAATAATCAGATTTATACAAGAATTCAGTGACCTTAATTCACTTCAACTTGAGACAGCAGCAAACATTTTTATATTGATTAAAGTACTACAGAATTGCATTTTCCTCATTCTACATGTTATCCCACTGTAGAGCTTGTGGTATTTAGTGACTGGATGAAAGATGTATCCTGGCACATCCAAATGCAGAGTGCTCACCTTCTGTGAAAATCAATGCCTTGCAAATACAAGACAGCTGCAAGTTCTGGCTTTTTTTAATTTGGTTTGGTTTTTTTCTCCGAAGATTGATGTGCTGCAGTTCTTTGCCTCCAGAGCAGAAAAAGTAATCTGGGAATACTGCCTATACTAATGACTCCCAAACTTCAATTTGAGGACTGTGACTTCAGTTTTCTTTTCCATATTTGTTTGACAAAGAGTATTCCAATGAAAACAAGCAACAAAAATAGTAATATTTTAAAAATCTAATAACAAGCTAACTCTTGATATCTGTTAAAGAGGCTTGGTAAGGGCAGTGACAATAGGGGGTAGAAACTTAACAGTTTTGTTTGGCAGACTCAGCAGGCCTAGAGCTGCATATGAGAGAAAAATCCGCTAAATGCAACTGCTAAAGTCGTCTTCCACACACTGGCCATCTTTCCGCAACAAACATGGCCTTATTCTATCTGGCTTTTTGTCCTCAACTCCTTACCACCCAATCCAAAATGTCACTGAAAGTCATTTTCCGCTCCTCTCAGATCACATTACTCGCTCTCAAAATCAGTCATCACCTTATTTCTGAGGCCACTGTGCTCAAGATCTTTGTTCACTCCTGCGAGTGCCTATTAAAATTTCACCTGTAGCTAGATGGATTGAGTATTTCTGATAAAACATAAATCTTGTTATGTCTGGCATTGGCATTTTGTTATGTTCTGCCATTCTTCCCTGTAATCTTTTCCAGGTTTCTGTTTGTTGCTATTTATTATGCTGTGCACTATGAAACACTGCTTGTTTTCACCTTCTCAATCTTTTCTCAATCCCTCCAGATCTTCTTCTTTCCTCGTAGATATCACTCCCTGAAATTTGACTTCTATCTGTCTACATAATCTTTCAGAATTGTCAAACCCCCATAAAAAATCAGATCTATTTGCAGGAGAATACCACTATCTAAAACAGAATCACATTTAGATATAGACACCCCACTCCTTCCACACTCTCCAAACAGCAACACACTGAAACTTAAAACATGATACTCTATCTCCTTCAAAGCAGAGTTGCCACTCCAGAACAAGCCTTTACACCTTTAATAAAACAGCCTTAAAACATTGCTCACAAGAGCCCTATAGACATAGAGGAGAGGAAGAAATTTAAACTCTGAAATTAAAACTTCCAAACACAATTGAAATTGTCCCAAGGTCCAGGCACTGCAAGTCACTACATAGAGAGCTCCAACCTCGTCCTGTGACATGCTTATGAGTGCCCTCAGGGGCAACAGGTCACAGAAGTCAGTGGGAAACCCAAAATCTGGACTATTGCCCAGAAAAGAAAACGCAGGCAGATTCAATATGCAAGAGGAAAAAAAAAGGAAAAAAAAACCAACCCACAAACCAATTACACAGTGCCTACAACAAAGAAAGCAGAGCCTGCTAACCTTCTCGTAAGCTGTGGTATGAATCCTGATATGTGCTTGAACAGCTCTTCCCTTGCTTTGACACAGTCTCTGCAAGCGGCACAATCCCGACATAGGCAGGCTGGAGTGTCTTGGCTTTATCCAACATATTAGAGGAAATCCCTGGACCTGAAGGCAGATTCTTTAACACAGGAGGCGTCCCAGGCTAGTGGAAGGGGTGCTTAATCCTCACAAGAGACCCAACCACAATCCCTGTCTACCAGGTTTCGGTCGCTGCACCAAGTGGGAGAGTGGAAAAAAAAAAATTAGTTTACTGCTAGATTCCAAGGCTGTGCTTGCATAGGAACAGATAGGTACTCCAGGCACAGCCAAATCCTGACAGCCAACATCTAAAGATTAAAATCAGCAAGGCTCTTGGCAAAACTTTTCTTCCTACTACCTCAAAGCTCAGACAGAAACTTCACTGTTTCAGCAAGCAGCTATAAGCATTCAGGATCCCAGTATGCAGAGCGGTGCTTATCAACAGATGCGTGGACTTCTTCGTGGGGCCACTTGCAGTAACAGCCAACCTCATTCACCCAAAATAGTGAACAGTTGGTTTCTCTACTCACGCTACAGACACCTGCCAGACAGGCAATGTCATGCAATTGAGCACTACCCTCTCTCCCCCTGCACCTCCCGACTGTAAGCACGCCATGCACACAGCTAGGAGAACACCACCACTCTGAGTGCAGAAGCCATGCTGCCTTTTGTCCCTTCATGTTTAAACTATTAGAAACGGAATTTTAGTTGTGGAGAAAGCTAAACTGATAATCCGGGAAAGAGTTCTTATATGCATTTGCTCTGAGACCACATATAAGTAACAGCAGGCTACTTCCATACAAGCACACATCCTCGCCTCTTCTTCCCTTAAATCCTTTCTCCCAACCTAGCAGAAACACCTACCTGAAGATAATCAGCAGCCCCCAATCAATAACCCTCTACTGCAAGCACTAAAACTTGAGAATCTGTGCTTTTATGGAGGCAGTCATCTCACCTGGAGCTTATTTAATGTGCATCATGAACAGATGCCATATGATTGACAAACTTTGGTTATACGTACCACCCAGTATGGTACTGGAATTGGAAGTGGCCAGGGAAAAGCACACTCCATCCGAGCAACATCCAGGAGGTACTCTCACCAGGACAGCTGGTGGCTTTTGTTGGTTTTTAATCTCGCTAAGCATGCATCATAAAAGGTGTAACAAAGTCGGGGGGGGGGGGGGGGGGGGAAACAAATAAAAAAAGATA